TCGCGGAAGCGTTGGCGCCAGAGCGGATCCCACGGGCCCTCGGCCACCCAGAAGCTGAACAATGTTAAAAGTTTTTCTAAATTTACTAAATCTACATAGTAAAACTAAATACATGCATAAATACTGACCACCTAGCCCCGTCAGGCTCATAAATATTATTTCTGCATGTTTGGCTTCTATGCACATAACTTCTAGGAGTTCTATCTCTGCTGACAACGTGATGAGCGTTTGTACGCGTTTACTGTTTGTCCTGCGTTATTACAAATGGCAGTGATATGTAATCTATGTAATCTCATACATCAATATACTCGTAACGTAATCAGCAATGCTGGTTATATTTAGGAACTTGACGAGACGGACTTGTCAATGTCCGTCTCTCTCACTCGCTTGATCTGCAACATTGAATCTCACTTTTAATCACACAGTGCAGTTTAATATAGTTTGCTAGCTAATTACATTAAGTATCGTCGGCACATCAAAGATACAAATTGTATTCATGGTTGCAGCATTTTGGAAAATCCTTTACATCGTTCAGGGTAATTTTTGAAACGTCACCCCTTTTTAGGAGTCATGTAATACATTTTTATTACATTTCGAGTAGGTTGTGTAATGTTTCCAACAATAATGGATAATAATATATTCCTAATCAATTTCAGTACATTTATGACTGAGCCCGTACTGCTTTTGAACGCTTCAACAGCTTGATAGGCAGGCACTAAAACGTCGTTGATGTCGTACGAATATGGCTCATTTTATGCTGGCATGAGTGATGTGCTTGCAAACTAGTGATGTTTCCCGACTGGATTTTGGGCGGTCAAAATAATGCAGCAATAAGCTACGCGCAAAGTTGAAGATTCTGCCGTATGAATTGCTTCGCGTCAAGCGGTTGTCGGCGTGGCCACCGCTTTAGAGAGATGCAATGGACTGATTGCAACTCTCTGCAAAGTAGCCTGAGATGCAGCAATGCGGTCTATGCGCCGACTGACTCAAATAGCTACTAGCGACAGAACTATATTTAGTAAAATGTCATACAGTGTCCACAGCAGTCGTGTAATCTCAGCTGCTGACAATGTGACGGACGTTTGAGCTCGTTAATTACTGCTGCCGCACCAAACGGATACGTCTGATATAATCAGGGACGCTGTCACACGTCTGGAAGCGCCGCAAACGCATGTGACATGATATCTTGGCTGTGTCAACGTGACGGACATTTGAGTTCGTAAACTGTTACCGTCGCACCTGATACAATCAGAAATGCTGCCACACGTCTGGATGCGCATGCATTGCGACTGCTATAGCTGTTGATAGCAATGTGATAGACTGCATTGCGATGGTTATATTCCAGCAGCTTCCTGGCCCATTTGCAATTTTCACGGTGCTTGACATTCGGCATTTCAAATTTATGCGCTTGTTATAATCCCAAAATAATCGCGAGAATATAGTCATCGAGGTGATTGATGCCTTAAGTCTATCAATAAAATATAAATCTTCATAGCAGATTTTAGATAACTTCACATCTTAATAAATTAATTTTCTGTATTCCTATAAGTTTATTCCGCGTGGCTGGGCGAATATATCCTGCGACCCATAAATGTCAATCGATTGTCAGTTTACTTACGACGAATCGATAGAGATTGTCGTCCGTTCTCGGACAGATGCGTCAATCAGGCAACTTTGCGACGATCGAATCAAAAAAGTGAGTAAAATTATATGCAATATTGTTGCAGTGTGGAATTGCTTACAAAGTTTTTACAACTGGTTTTTCAACGGGATTGGCAGCTTGTCATAATAAATAGCATGCTTCTGTTAGCCAATACAGATTGTCCACCGTCGTCAATCTGTAGAACACGATCGATAGCAGCAAGGCAGTGGAATTCGTTTGGCCTGTTGTTGCTACACATAGACATGTATTGTATCTTTCGAAGGCCGTAGTCAAATTGGACGTATTCCTAGAGAGAGGCTCTCGCTCTCAGTAAGGCTCACGACACGCCACTAAGTGGTCATCGCGGTCGTGAGAAAACGTACAACTCTGTTGCTACATACTGTTTATTACAACTTGGAATTAGGCGAGTCTGGTTAATATTTGATACAGTAATTGATTTTGTACAAATCTGAGTAATTGACCGTTGTGTCAGCACGTACGCAGCAATTCTTGGCACTAGGCCTAAATGTTGCTACAGCTGCTGTTGATAGCGTGGTGATCTGCATTGCGATTGATATAGCTGTAAATAGCATTCGGAAAAGCGACATCCGAGGCCTCAAAATTATTGCTTTCCAAATGTTTTAACAGCGCAACAAATGATGCGTCTGACCCGACACGAAACAACTTCATAGTCGATGTGATGAGAAAACGTAAGCGGCTTAGGGAGGGGAAAATCATGCGTCACTGACGTTGAGATATCAAGTCACATATGTTTCTGGATCTTTCAGACGTGATTGCGTTGGAATAATTCCGATGGCTGTAAAATTTCCCTCGCTACCATTGCTCTCATTGAGCCTGAGAAACTATAATTGGATTATGTTTGCAAACACGATCTTTCTTAGTGATCTGGTCGTCGTGATAAGTATTCTGCGCAAGACGAGTGTGGTATAGTACAGTTGTGCTCATTACACAATCTTGATGAGCATCGACGGTATTATTTGATTCTTTCGTGAATCTATTACAACACTTCGAACCGAAAAAATGTTAACTATGTAGCACTTCAGTCACAATAAATTGTAATATATCGACGTTCCGCTTCTTACCAGTATGGTTTGTCGCGGGTACACGAGAAACGCAGACGGTTCGGTTCGCCCTACTTAGGTAGAACTGCCTTCTTTTGAGCCTCAAAGAGGTCGTTACAACAGCTGTTGTTAGCAAGGTGGAATTCCGCTCAGCGACTGATGTGTTACCGCAGCTGTTGATAGCGGGGTGATCTGCATTGCGACGGATATGTTATCGCAGCTATTGATGGTGTGGTGATAGTCTGCATTGGAACTGATACGTTATCCACGAACTTTGCCCTCCAACGCTCGAAGAGCATCGCGAGTCACCCGCCTCGGATTGACCACGACGAGAATGGTGGAGCTGGGATTGTCAATACCGATTGACTTACTAATGTCAACCGGAGCAAAATAGCTGGCCTCCTTTCTGCTTCGTGGACCCATATCGCTCTCTCGTACAGCCAAACTTTACTACTTTCAATCTCCAACAATGCTGATCACCACAAGAATCTGTGAGTAGTTATCAATGTACCAGAGGAGTTTAACGGAGACTTTGAGACGCGAAAAATAGAGCTAGATCTTATCAATATGAACGATCACTCATCCTTACCGCGAACGCATTCAAGTAGCAAGACGTCATCTGCGTTTAAACTATCGCCATGTTGTTGGCAGGTGGCGCCTACAAGTCATTACATCTAAGAACTTATATAGATGCGTACCACTTCGTTAAACTTAATTTTGGGAACTGAAAGCTGGCGAGAAAGATGAAGTGTGTCGTACTCAAATCGTGCAACAGATAGAAAAGATGCACTCAAAAATCAGCACAGCGAAATGCTACTTCAGAATGACGCTCAGCGGAGCTTCGATCACGGACTGCACCCAAGCAAGAATACGGTATGTGGCTAGGTAGCCAGTGGTCATGCATGTATTTAGATTTTACTATATATATTTAGGAAACCATTTTCATCTGCATATTCTTTCTGCAGGTCTTGGTTTTCAGCCATCGCATCGCGAACGTGTCGTAGAACACTCAGGGTATCACAATTCTTGTCAGTGAGATAATAGTTTGTCTTCATCTACCACTGTGAGAGTGCACAACATGGCTGCTTGTTTACACCTCAGTCTGCTCTTTACTTGTCCGGCAGCGTATGTAACGGCATTGTGTTGAACACGTGTTGCCGAAAGTGATTGTGTCTTATCCTTGCATTTCCGATGCGTTGAATGGCTATGCGTATATTCCATTTGTGGTGCTACTGTCCATCTTCTTCTTACTGGGACTGAAAATGGTGCCAGTGACATCTGGCAAGTCGGCGGAAGAGATACAAGCGGAATATAATTCGCGTCGCGTACATCAAGTAAATTTTGATTCGATATCTCGATATTTCTGGAAACTCACTGAGAGTTATCTTATAAGAAGTAAATGCCCAGATTTAAGTCTTAAGTTAAAATAAATCGTGCATGACTCCAAAATCATATTGTTTAGCTTACGATACTCATGTATAACAGCATCTGGCAGACTGCATCGGTGAGATTTGGCAACATCTGTCACCCAAAACAAGTACACTAAACTGTATACAGCCGCACCACAAACGTATGTGACATGATATCTCAGCTGCTGTATGAAAGGGTGGGTTACACAAGATGGTGTGATCGTGCAAAAGTGTGGATAACACAAGCCAGTGTAAGCACACAATGGTGTGGCTAAAGCGTAACAAGGACCACTACCTGGCGGAATGTCAGTAATTGTGCAAATTTATTTGGTTTTCCTAATTACTCAGGAAAACATAAGGTTTAGATATAGGCGGCTATGCCGCACAAAAATACAATTTCAATTTTGAACACTAGAGCTCGTTAAGAATTTGACTAACTCTGGAGGTAGCGGATTGTGAGCCGCTTCACTCGTACTGGTTCTTGTATAGAATGTAAGGTCGGTGACCATAGCTAAGCTTCCTGGACGCAAAGAGCTACGGCAGTCGCTGCATTCCATTAACGTAAATGAAATTTATTAAGTGGAAAGCATCTTTTAAATTAAAATTAAATTTAAGTTTGTAGCTATAAAAGGCTTGTCGGGTGACGCCTGGGTGAAGCGTGCAAAAATTGCCTTCTTCGAGTCAGAAAGCGGAGACTCTTTTAGTCAAAACATCATTTGTGCACGGTCCACGACGTCCCCACTACACTTAGTAGCACTTGTAGCTCATCCTACGTTCAATTCTTGAAACGGCTGTATCCTTTGTGAGGATGGAGGACAAGCAGTTGGATTACCTGTACTTGAGATACCCAACCAGACACGCTTGGTAAGCTGATTGCTGTTGTTGGTTCCCATGGGATCCTTGAGCTGGTGGTCAAGGAACCAGCGGTAAGCATAAATTGCCTTGAGGTTATGAGAATGCGCTGATGATACACTTCCATTAACACCCCCCAACCGGGCATCGGTGAACGTACAATGGAAACAGCTGCGAGAAGACTGATGCTGAGTAACCAGTTCTTTGATGGCAAGAACGAAGGAAGTCTCTCTTTCGCTGGAAAGAGAAGTCTGCAGGTTCATAGATATAGCAACTATTAAGGCCATTGTAGATACGCTTGTGCCCATAGCCCAAACACATTTATGAAGTGGCGTGGTCGTCACAGGTATTTGCGCAAGTATAGTGCAAGTCCTGCTGATATGGCATGGCCCCTCACCAAATGCTTTTACAGGATGTCCTATAATGCTGGATAAGGCAGAAGAAACTGCCTTTAAAGCTGTAAAAGAGACTTTTTGCGTACTTTGATTTTTTGCTATGGTATGTGCTTAACTTCAAGAAGATGCCAATGGGCATGAACGTTTAGTTTTCGTTTAATACTTACTAGCTTAAGCGACAGAGGAAACTGATGTGTTCACGACAAAGTAATTCTTGCAAAGACGAATGCTTTTTTTAAATGAGTAAATGGGCATGTCGAAGACCGCGCGATCGCCGATTAAAGCTTGCAGCTTCACTACACAGTCATATTGCGAGTTTGTTGAGAGCGAATATTCCACCCTGTTGATCTGAGAGCGACCACCGCCTGTGATGTCTACATATTCATAGATGACGAAGTGGTCGGCATCAATATGACTACTGAGGCTACCAAGTGTAACGTTAATATCCGTCCGTACACACGCACTTACTGACGAGGAATTGAATTAGTTAACACGCTTCATCGCGTGTTGCTTACTTCTAGCAAGCCGCTAATTCACTTGAAAGATGGCTTAGGGCTTGGTGGGGGAGGAATAGCCGAACGGCTAGCTGATGTCAGCCCCCTCAAGATCCGCAGAAAAGTCGATGACTTCTTGTCTACCAGACTGAGTGTACTACGACACGTTCGCGATGCGATGGCTGAAAGCCTAGAACTGCAGTAAGAATATGCAGATGGAAAAGGAAGAAGCAAAGTGGAAAGCTTTAAGGTCGGTGACCTGGTTTTAGTAAATTCTAAAAACCTGCCTGCACATGCAGCCTCTGCCATCTTCAGGACAAAGCTTCGTCCACGGATCATCGAACCGTCTAATGTTGTGGCCAAGCGGGGCCTAGCGTGACGGCTGAACCTCCCAAAACGAATGCACACCCACCCGGTGTTCTTCGTGGGCTTGCACAAGCTGTACCGGGATCCGGCGCAAGTGAACGCGGAACCATTGGCGCCAGAGCGGATCCTACGGGCCCTCGGCCACCCAGAAGTTGAACCAGCAACTGATTCCGAGCACGGAGTGCAACAACCTTCATTTTAATGGAGTCAAGCGCTCCACCGTTGCCTGCAGCAATGCATTCGCCCGCTCCACGGCTAGGAGTCGCTCCGACACAGAGCGGTAGTCCGCAAGACGAGGCAACCGGCGCACGACGTTATTTAAATCGTATTGAGCGTCCGCACAGCCATACGCTACTTCAGCATAACGCAGCAGAGCTCCGATTTCAAGGACTTTGTCCTCAAGAACTCGAAGAGCATCACGAGTCACCACATCGGCGATCGTCACCTCGATGTTCGTGTTCACGACCTCATACTCAAAGAGGTCATCCCGGTCCGGCGTCATATGCGACGTCGCACCACTGTTGATCAGCCAGCTCAGCGATCGATCCTTGCCAACATCGAGTGCAATTTCAGCCATGACACTGGTGATCACTGAGTCTACTGACTCATTCAACGGGCTTATTTCGCTGACCGCGAATACTGCACCATCGTCGATGCCGTCGACCTTGTTCGGGCAATCCCGCTTCATGTGTCCGACCCGGTCACAAGTAAAGCACTTGCCGCGGAACCCGCCATTCTTCTTCGCGCCGTTGCCCTTGCGTTCATTGTTCCTGCCGCGTTTCACAAACTTGCCATTCTTGCCCCTGCCACCATCCGAGGCGACCTTCAACGCGCGCTCCGACATTTCCTTCTTTTCCAGTCGCTCGTATTCCTTGAGCAACTTCTCCTTTACCTCGATCAGCGTGATGTTCTTAGAATTCTCGATGATCGACGAGATCAACTCGAATTCGCTGGGCAGGCTGCTCACAATATAACCAACTGACGGGCATCGTCCAATGGTTCGCCGAGCGCTTGGAGACCCACGATGAGCTCGTCAAATTTGTCGAGGTGCTTTGCCATCGTCGCCCCTTCTCCCATCTTAAAATCATGGAGTCGGCAAGTCATCATTACTCGGTTGTGCATCGTGGTCCGGTTATAGAACTCCCGCAGAGTTCCCCACGCTTGAA